ACTGATGGACCACTATTGAATACAAAATTATTAAAAATGTGTATATATATATATCTATATATATATATATATATACACAGTATATTCCAATTTATGAAAGGACCAACTTTAGTAAATTGAGTTGTGACAACGTTTTTCTCAAGAAGTAATATCAATTGAAAATAATAAAAAATATAAAGTAAAACTAAAGTGGTCTGAGGTATATTAGAAAGGAATTCTAATAATTTTGTATTTGTCAAAATACCCTATATACTACAACAACAAATCTAACAAATCTCTTGAAACTCTGAATTGGTTTTAGGTTTTGGTACAACCCCAGGATTTTCAGTGAATCCCATATAGCCAGCCCATTAAAACAATGTTCTGGAGGCACCACTGGTCAGTATTAAATAGAATTATGCTGCTAAAAAATGCCAAGAAGACTCACCTGTGTCTTCATCAATGAAAAACCGTCCAAGCCCAGTCCCATCACGAATGGAGTAAACGATTTCTCCATCTCGACCAGCATCATCATCATTAGCATTAACTTGGAATAAAGTGGTTCCTACTGGGGCATTCTCTTTAACTAATCCTGTCAAAGCGAAGTAGGAAAAGTATGGAGCATAGAGATTTTCATTTACATCTATTACTTCCAACTCCACAAACGTGACGGACAGCAGAGACACTGGTCTTCCCTTGTCTTTGGCCTTCACTGTGAGATTGTAGAACTGCTGGGTCTCATAATCCAACTCTTTCGTGAGTCGAATAGCTCCACTGTTTCTGTCCAACTCAAACCAACCACTGTGGTCATTCACTAGAGAAAATCGAACTTGGCCTCCCAAGCCCAGATCTGGGTCCTGGGTTTCCAGCCATGCCACAACAGTTCCTATTGGAAGATCCTCCAGAGCCCTGGCTTTGTAAACACTGGGAATAAACAGTGGGGGGCAGTCGTTTACATCCTCCAATATGATTTTCAGTGTGGTCACAGAAAATTTGTGTCTCCCTTTGCTTGCCGAGTCTCGAGCCTCAATCTTCAGGTTAAATGTAGGAACTAATTCCCGATCAAGATGGCCAGCAACATACACTATCCCATTAGAAGAGTTAATGCCAAACTGGGAGGTACTTGTCAAAAGAGAGTATACAATCTCCCCATTGGGTCCAAGATCTTTATCAGTAGCCTCAACCTGAATGACATATGTGCCTATAGCAGTGTTCTCAGGTATGACTATACTATAGGGTCCTTCTTGAAAAAACTGGGGTGCATTATCGTTAGCATCCTCTATGTGGACAGTAAGCAAACGCCAAGCCATTTTCTGTGGGAGGCCAAGGTCGTAGATAGTTAGGTTCAGGAGATAGTGATCTCTCTGTTCTCTGTCCATTGGTAGAAACACACTAATTAGGCCAGTCTGCATGTCAATGGTAAAACAGCTGTCAGTGTTTCCATCTGCAATTGAGTATACAATCTGCCCATTGAAGCCGGTGTCTCCATCATATGCATTTACTTTGAAAACACTTGAGCCAACCTTCAGGTCTTCTTGAACAGCTATTTCAGATGGAAATGTTTTATCAAACTGGGGAATTTGCCGATTGACAGAGAAAAGGTCAATAAAACCTTCCTCAATTTTAGGCTGGATGCTAACTTTGGACTTCTTTAGTAGTTTTTCAGCCAATTTTTGGGCCACTCTTGTTTCTTTACATGTCAAATGCTTGGGGAGAGATTTCCCGTAAACAACTGAGATGTTGATGAACATAGGATCAGAAAAGTTTTCACCATCTGTAGCAGTTATTTTTAAGTTAAAGATACTATTCTTTGGACTCAGTGTGGTAAGGGAACGTTGCAGTGCAAGGACTCCTGAATCAGGGTTGAGTTCAAAGAACCCCTGCTCATTCCCTGAAATTATTTTATATTTTACAAGTTCTAGCTCATCTATATCAATTGCAGACATTGTGGTAATTACTTCTTCTATTGGGAAATCTGCAGAAAGCATCCCCTTGCATGCTACCTTTTCAAATATTGGCTGGTTATCATTTACATTTTCTAAGTGAATTGTAACATTGACTTCACTTTCTCTCCTGTAAGGTGACCCCCAGTCAGAAGCTCTGACTTTAAATGCAAAGATCTCTGGTGAAGATTCAAAATCCAAATCTGTAGTGGTGCTTATAACACCAGAAAACTGGTTGATTTTGAAAGGTAATGACTGAAGACTGTAAATGCTGTAAGTTATGTATCCATTTTCACCTTTATCTTCATCTACAGCAGAAACTGTTAGAACATTTGTTCCAGTTGGTATACTTTCATTCACAAAAACCTCATAAAAAGACTGTGAAAAGGTCGGTGTGTTATCATTGGCATCTTCTATCGTTAGCTGTACTTTCGTTCTGAGATTATTTTCAATTTCCAGTATCTCAAGAATAAAAATATCCTGGGATATCTGGGTAAACCAGTGAGTGGTAGAGATTACACCTGTTAGTGTATTGATCTCAAAAAAGTTAGAATCTGCAGAAGGTATCAGGATATATTCTGCATCATCAGGCTCAGGTTTGATTTTAAATTCTCCCACAATTGTTCCTGGTGGTGAAATTTCATTTAGACTAACATCGTACAACTCCTGCTCAAAAATTGATTCTGTTCTTTGTTGTTTTGGGAACATAATGTGGACAACCTTGACAGATGAAAACTTGTGTGGGGTTCCTCTGTCTTTAGCTTGCAAGGTAAGGTTACAGCCATAAGGGAAGGTCTCCCAGTTTATTGTCTCCGTGGCTTTAATGGCAAACTCGCCTTCTTCATATTTTTCTACAAAAAACAGTCCTGAAGGGTCCCCGCCCACAATGACGACGGAGTCAATTTCTCCGTTCAAGCCTTCATCCTGGTCTTCAACAGTAAGCATTGCATACTCAAGGTTTTTATCCAGCCTGGAGGGTCTGAGAGTTACCACATTCATGACTGGGGCATGTTCATTCACACGCTCTATGTGAACAAAAAGTTTAGCTGTGCTGCTAACCCCATTATTCCCATACAACTTCATGCCACGATCGACTGCCAGAATTTCCAAGTCATACCTGTCCTGCTCATCAACATTAAGCTTTCCGCTGAGATAGACCACTCCACTGGTTGGGTGTACGGCAAATAATTCCATTTTCTCCTTGAAAAAAAAGTAAAACTCTCCATTGGAGCCAATATCTGCATCTGTGGCAGTAACTTGTGCTATGCTAGTCCTGAGAGGGGTGCTCTCTGCTATAGTAACAGAGTATGTAGTAGGTGAGAACAAAGGACGAAGATCATTCATATCCAAGACCTGGATACTGACTTTAGTCCAGGTCTCAATTAGGGCCTCTCCCTTGACAGAAGCTTTCACAGTTAATACGTAGTTATCTTGAATCTCTCTGTTCAAAATTGCCGCATTGCCCCCCTTGGTCCTTATGCGCATGAAACAAAAGTCCCCCAGCACATAATCCTCTGCCTTGAAAAGCCCTTCATCATCTCCTGAGGTGATTCTGTAGCGGATTTCCCAGGATCTCTTGTAAAGGTGAATCCCCATTTTAACTTTACTGTTGGCATAGGTGCGTGCTGCTGAGTTTTCATAAACTGTTGCATGGTAAACCGAATGGGTAAAGCTGAAATTTGATCCATCCTGAGGGGCTTGATAGGTATTTTGATCATAGCAGGCTGATGGCTTGAAAATTAGGAAGAACAACTGAAGAGCCAGACTGAGGAGAAAAGCTTGCATGCCTGCCCATTTGGCCATATTCAAATCCATTCCATTATAACGCCATCCTGAAACAGAAAGACAAAGCACAATGTTAGCCCAATATGGACAACAACATAAAAAACATGCCACTAATTAACTTTGCAACTCAGTCCCTGGTTTTCATTGGACAGCTGATAATGTCTAATGAAAACAATAGCTTTATGGAGAGCTTTCTTATACGTTAGCAGACTATTTCTCCAAGTTAAATAAAAGTATTAAACATTAGTGGCATGCTATTTTCTTTTCAGCTTTCTAGATGTCTGTTTTAAAGAACCATACGTAACTCAGAATTGAACCAAGAAGCCAGTTTCCTCGGACTGATTTCTTTTTTCCCATTGGAGTAATTTTATCAAGTGAAGTTTGCATTGAAGTTGTAAAATTATCAACCAGATGATCTAAGTCACTGTTCTCTGATGCATTGATGGATCCTTGATGGAAGAGAGTTTAAATTTGGTGACAACATCCTCTGATAAACACCTGCCAAGATGAAATTTACTCTGTGACTGTGTAGTCATTTAATTTTAAACTCAAAGGTAATTAAAAATGGTCAGACAGAACAGGATTTTGAGGATGTATTAATAAGTATTTAATCTCTGCCGTAAGTCAGAACCAGATCAAGAGTGTGATGATGAGAATGAGTTTGATTTTGTTTGTCCTCCAAATTATTGACAACCCAGGGTCCAGTCCAGGAAGCAGAGTTGCAGTCGTCCACACCTCTCTGCTGCTTCTCCTCTGTTACCCACCCAAAATCCCACTGAAACAGCGCCAGCTCGCCCACGGCTCACCAAAAAAAAAAAAAAAAAAAAAAAAAGTCAGCTCTAATAATATAAAACATAAAAATTGTATTAAAATAAACACAGTTAATTTATCAAAACAATTTTATAAAATTATTAAATGTGGATTATTGAACATCAGATCTCTTTCCTCTAAATCCCCGTTGGTTAATGAACTGATAACTGATCATCATATTGATTTATTCTGTCTGACAGAAACTTGGCTACAACAGGAATATCCTGATGCATGCTCAATAATCCAGGTAGAAAAATCCAAAAAAGTTAAATCTGGTCCTCTGGACATTCAAAAAACAAAACATTGTTAGGCTGATGGTCCTTCTTGAGCATGTGATCAGCTGGTTCTGGTTGTCAGCAGCAAACTGGTTGATCCACTCTGAGAAGGTGCTATTTAAGAGACTGAGCTGAATACAGCACCTCAGACTGAGGAAGTCCTTAGGATGAGAGACGAAACGTTTCTACATTTTTTGTTGTTTTGCCTTGTTTTGTTTTTTGAATGTCCAGAGGACCAGATTTAACTTTTTTGGACTACAACAGGAATATTTTGTTTGTATAAATGAATCCACTCCTGTTAATTATTTAAATTTTCATGTTCCTAGAACAACAGGTTGAGGTGGAAGAGTAGCTTCTATTTTTCAGTCAGGATTATTGATTAATGCCAAACCAGTTATTAGTTATGATTCTTTTGAGTTGTTGTCCCTCAGTCTTTCTCATCCAAAATGGAAATCAGAAAAGCCACTTTTACTAGTTGTTATATATCGTCCACCAGGCACTTATTCTCAGATTTGTCTGAATTCTCAGATTTTCGTCTGACTTATTATTAAATACTAATAAAGTCATAATAATGGGTGATTTCAATATTCATGTAGATGATGAAAGTAATAGCTTAAGCATAGCTTTAAAAAAAATTAAGTCAATTGGTTTTACCCAAAATGTCTGCTCATCTACTCACTCTCATTATCATTTAGTTCTGACCTATGGCATAAAGATTAAGGACTTAGTAATACATCCTCAAATCCTGTTCTGTCTGACCATTTTTTGAGTTTACATTAAATGACTACACAGTCACTGAGAGTAAATTTAATCTTAGCAGGTGTTTATCAGAGAATGCTGTAACTAAATTTAAAGATTATTTTCCATCATTTTCCTCTGTCTTGCAGAGTAATGAATCTGAGAGACGTGACTTAGATCATCTGGTTGATAAATTTACAACTTCAATGCAAACTTCACTTGATAAAACTGCTCAGCTGAAAAAGAAAGTAATCAATCAGAGGAAACTGGCTCCTTGGTACAATTCTGAGTTACAAACTTTAAAACAGGCATCTAAAAAGCTGAAAATGAAATGGCGCTCCACTAACATTGAATAATTTTATTTCACTTGGAAAGATAGCCTGCTAACATATAAGAAAGCTCTCTGTAAAGCTAGAACTGTATATTATTCATCTTTAATAAGTGAAAATAAAAATATTCCCAGATTTATTTTCAGTACCATAGCTAAACTAATGAAAAGTCCTATCTCTATTGAACCATGTATCCCTAAAACTATAAGCAGTGATGAGTTCATGAGATTCGTTATAAAGAAAATTATTTCAATTAGTGAAAAAATTAAAACCAACCTTCCTACTATCACCTCTGGTTCTGTGTCAGATGAGGCAACTTTAGAAATGTCATTAGAACCTGTTTTATGTTTGGACTGTTTTTGTCCTGTTGAGCTCTAAATTGTCATAAATTATAGCTTCATCTAAACCATCCACATGTCTGCTAGATCCCATCCAAACCAGGCTATTTAAAAACGTATTTCCCTTAATAAATATCCACATTTTGGATCTGCTTAA